GGACACAGAATTGTTACTCAGGGACACAGAACTGTTACTCAGGGACTCAGGGACAGGGACACAGAATTGTTACTCAGGGACACAGAATTGTTACTCAGGGACACAGAATTGTTACTCAGGGACACAGAATTGTTACTGAGGGACACAGAATCGTTACTCAGGGACACAGAATCGTTACTCAGGGACACAGAATCGTTACTCAGGGACACAGAATCGTTACTGAGGGACACAGAATCGTTACTCAGGGACACAGAATCGTTACTCAGGGACACAGAATCGTTACTGAGGGACACAGAATTGTTACTCAGGGGACACAGAATTGTTACTCAGGGACACAGAATCGGTTACTCAGGGACACAGACACAGAATCGTTACTCAGGGACACAGAATTGTTACTCAGGGACACAGAATCGTTACTCAGGGACACAGAATCGTTACTCAGGGACACAGAATCGTTACTCAGGGACACAGAATTGTTACTCAGGGACACAGAATTGTTACTGAGGGACACAGAATCAGAATCGTTACTGAGGGACACAGAATCGTTACTGGGGACACAGAATTGTTACTCAGGGACACAGAATCGTTACTCAGGGACACAGAATCGTTACTCAGGGACACAGAATTGTTACTCAGGGACACAGAATCGTTACTCAGGGACACAGAATCGTTGAATTAAAGAGTATGTCAGACAACACGCAGAGGAGTGGCAGAGGAGGCAATGTTTCAGGAGCGAGCAGACGTGGCAGCAGAGGAAGGGGTCGAGGCAGCACTAGTCGCAGCCAGAGGCCAGTGCTCCCGGTGTCATCCAGCGGTCGTGTCTCCACCGACAACCCTGCCGTCATCGATTGGTTGGCTCGGTCGTCTTCCTCTTCCCAGGTCACCTCTGACACCTACAGCCAACGGTCGGTGGGTACGTCAGACACAACCGTTAGTTGGCATGGCCCGGGAGCAAGCCCACTGAAATCACGTGTCCTCTACCTGCCCCTGTCCTTTGGTGTTCCCTCACCAAGCGAAGTATCGCATGCTGTGGGCTCAGCCCCACTGTACAGTGAGGAAGAGCTAACAGAGGGCGGTCGGTCAGGAACGGGGGGAGACATCCGCCTCTTCAGCAGCCAGGCGAAGAAGTACTGGCGAGGAGAGTGGCTCGGTAGCCGGTCTAGAGACAGGTCTGTCTCCTGACCCACACGCAGCCGAGGGGGCTAGTAGTGAGGCGGAGACCCTAATTGATGATGATGAGGCTGATCGCACTTGGCAGCCTCGTCGTCATCAGGCTATTGCTTCGCATCATCAGGAGAAGAGGGTGCCAGCTTGGCAGCGAGCAAAACAGTCGGTGGGTTTGCCCAGGAGGCAGCAGGGTCGCAGCAGTGTCAGTGGAGGCAAACGGCCACGGAGTAGAGCACCAGCTCCACTGCAGCCTACTACCACCATGGCCAGTAGTGGTGCCGGTGTGCACGGAGGAAGTAGCAGTCAGCCAGTGAGGAGTAGCGGGGGCAAAGTTTCCTACTCGGCGGTGTGTGGCAATTTTTCGTCAAGCCGCCCGAGGAAGTAAACGTAGCCGTATGTCGACTATGTGGCCAGAAAGTCAAGCGTGGCCAGGGGGCCCATGTTGGGACTACAGCGTTGCGTCAGCATATGCAGTGCCGCCATTCGGTGGCCTGGGAAAACCGTGATAAAGATACGGCGGGTTCTGCCTGCCCCAGCCCCCGCTCCATCACCCGCTCCGTTACTTGCTCCGTCACCCGACGTCAATCGCCCTCTATCAGCCAGTCAAGGCTCCAACACCTCTGCTGAGGGGAGTTGTCGCTCGTTGGCATCTTCCGCTCGTTCAGATGCTCCTTCTCCTGCTACTCCTCTTCACGGATTCCGTCAGCAGTCTTTCTTGGAATCCGTTTCCAAGAGACAACAGTTTGCGAGCACGCACCCGACGGTGCAAAAGCTGAACGTCCTCCTGTCCAAGTTGCTGGTGCTGCAGTCCCTCCCTTTCCAAGTGGTGGACTCAGCACCTTTCCGAGAAATGATGGCTTGTGCCGAGCCGCGCGGTGGAGAGTGCCAAGCCGGCATTTCTTCGCCAAAAAGGCAGTGCCAGCCCTGCATTCACATGTAGAAGAGATGGTGGGCCAGTCTTTGAGCATGTCGGTCTCTGCCAAAGTGCACGGCAGCGCCGACGTGTGGAGCTGTAACTACGGTCAGGGACAGTAATGTCATTTACGGCCCACTGGGTGAACGTGGTGCCGGCACAGCCGCACCAGCAACTTGGACAGGTCACGCCGCTTTTGCCTCCACGTTTGCACGTCCTTGGTCCAGCAAACATGTCCGCCTCTACCACCTCTTCTCTTCCGCCGTGTCCTCAGCCGCCACCCCCACCCCCGTGCCAAGTCCCATTACCCGACCGGCATATCACATGTGCAGGGCGCAACGGTGTCACGCTGTGCTGCACCTGGTATGCCTTGGCGAACGTAGTCACACAGGGGAGGAACTTCTGAGTGTAATGAACAGAGAAATCGACAGATGGGCTGTCTCCGCGCAAACTGAAAATCGGAACCATGTTGACCGACAACGGAAAGAACATGGTGTCTGCTCTGCGTCAAGGAAGGTTGTGCCATGCGCCATGCATGGCTCACGTTTCAATCTGGTTGTCAAGCGGTTCCTAAAATCCACCATCATCCACTGCAAGACATCCTTAAAATGTCACGTAAACTTTGCATGCATTTCAGCCATTCCTACACCGCAAAGCACACCCTCCTTGAGCTGCAGCGGCAGAACGGAATTCCACAGCATCGCCTGATCTGCGACGTTGCAACAAGGTGGAATTCAACCCTACACATGTTAGACCGCCTTTACGAACAGCGAAAGGCCATCACCGATTTCCTGATGTTACAAGCGGATAAAGGTACTCCCCTGTGTAACTTCGATGTCAGCCATTGGCAGCTCATGCGTGACACCTGCCGCTTGCTCAGGCCCTTTGAGGAGGCCACGCTATTCGTGAGTCGGCAGGACTATGGGATGAACGACGTCATTCCTCTGTTGCACGTCCTGGAACAAATGCTGTTAACAATGGCTGGTCAGGGTGCGGTAGACGTGGCGCACAGATCTCAACGCCACATGACCCCTGTGGGGGCAGGACAGGAAGAAGAGGAGGAGGTAGAGGAGGACATTTGTGCTCAGGAATTATTGAGTGAAATGGGTGGTTTTTTCCACTCAGCGGACAGGAGTGGAGGAGCAGGAGCATCTGGTAGAGGAGGAGGAGGAGGAGGAGACAGAGGACCCAGACGCACCCGTGGCAGTATGCTGTGGAGATGGAGGCAGGGAGTCCCTCGCATTCCTTGGCACAAATGGCCCATAGCATGCTCGGTTGCTTGCGTAGCGACAGCCGAATAATAACCATCAGACAGAGGGATGAGGCTGTCCACCTTGTTGGACCCTCGCTACCGTTCAAAAATGGTGGCCTTTTTCACACCTGCTGAGAGGGAGGCAACCCCACCCCACCCAGTTAACTAATAACCCTGATCCACCATGTATACAGTTGAGTCACCTTCCGCCACCCCCAAAAATGCCTTCACCATTTTACACTGTGGGGCAAACCCCCCCGTCCAACGTTCAAAAATGGTGGGGGTCTTTTTCACTACATGGTCTCTGGCCACACCCCCACCCACCAACAACCCCCCCAACCCCCCCCAAACACCACATAAAAATAACGTACTATAAAAAAACCACCTATGTAGTCAGTTGGTCTCTGCCTTTGTGCGCCAACGTCCATCCTCAGACACTGTGGGCCCTGTGCGCTCGCGTTCCGCTGCCATGGCAGCAGGGGAGGGGTGGGGTGGTAGAGCAGTGGCAGCTCCACCAGCAGCGGCTGCCTCAGTCTGCAGTCGATGATGAGTAGCTTTCTTCACCAGCGCAGTGAGGAAACTACTAACCAGCCGCAGCAGCAGCAGCAGCAGCAGCATCAGGTGGACCTGGAGCAGGACTCTCAAACAACAGGCTTGGGCCTACTTGGACAGCACCCTGCCAACCGAGGTAGACAATCCCCTTGACTACTGGGCAACGAAACTTGACCTTTGGCCCCAACTAGCTGAATTTGCCCTTGAAAGGCTGTCATGCCCGGCCAGTAGCGTGGCGGAGCGCGTGTGTTTAGTGCGGCAGGAGGTATTGTAACTCCGCGGAGGACACGACTGTCCACCCAAAGTGTGGAGAGACTGACGTTTGTGAAAATGAATCAGGCGTGGATTAGTCTGGATTTCAAAACCACCAGTTCCTGACACAACTGACCTAATAACCTAGCCGTTCAGGCCGCTCCCTGAACAGCTCGGGAATTGCTTTGTATATCTGTCGCCTTAGAGGCCGCTGGCTGGACAGCTGATGAATTGATTTGTATATATGTACTTATTGTCCGCTGTCCGGACAGCTCATGAATTACTTTTTGTATATAGCCTTCCAAACCACTCTCAGAATAAGTCATGATATTCATGCAGTATATAGCCCTATCGGCCACTTTTTGGCATCCAGTTGCTGTAGCCCCCATCACCACACTGTGCCACGGGCCCCTGTACCGCCTTCTCATACTGCTGCCAGATCCATCCTCTGCCATGTGCGTATTTGTCGTCTGCTCACGCTGCTGGTTTCCAGTTTTAAACCTAGGCCTGTGTATGGCTTCCGAATACTGCTGCCTCCACCGCCACCCTGCGCCATGTGCCACTTTCAGGTCTCCTTACACTGTTGGTGGGTTCCATTTTGTGATAGGGTGCTGTATGGCCTTCCATTGCTGCTGCCTCCACCGCCACCCTGCGCCATGTGCCTCTGTCGTCTGCTCACGCTGCTGACGGCTTCCGCTTTTTAACCTAGGCCTGTGTATGGCCTTCAATCGAAGCTGCTTCCGCTCCGCCACTCTGCCATTGGACTCTTGATAGTCGTCTCCCCACGCTGCTGCTGGGGGGACTTTTTAACATAGGCCTCTGTATGGCCTTCAATTTTAGCTGCTTACGCTCCGCCACTCTGCCATGGGCCCCTGTACCGCCTCCTCATGCTGCTGCCAGGCCCGTAATCTGTCATGGGCCCCCGTACCGACTCCTCATGCTGCTGCCAGGCCCGTAATCTGCCATGGGCCCCCGTACCGACTCCTCATGCTGCTGCCAGGTCCAGAGTGTGTCATGGGTCCCTGTACGGCCTCCCATTGCTGCTGCCAGGCCCGTAATCTGCCATGGGCCCCCGTACCGCCTCCTCATGCTGCTGCCAGGTCCAGAGTGTGTCATGGGCCCCCGTACCGACTCCTCATGCTGCTGCCAGGTCCAGAGTGTGTCATGGGTCCCTGTACGGCCTCCCATTGCTGCTGCCAGGCCCGTAATCTGCCATGGGCCCCCGTACCGACCCCTCATGCTGCTGCCAGGCCCGTAATCTGTCATGGGCCCCTGTACCGCCTCCTCATGCTGCTGCCAGGTCCAGAGTGTGTCATGGGTCCCTGTACGGCCTCCCATTGCTGCTGTCTCCATCGCCACACTCTGCCATGTGCCACTTTCAGGTCTCCTCACACTGCTGGTGGGTTCCATTTTGTCATAGGGTGCTGTATGGCCTCCCATTGCTGCTGCCTCCACCGCCACACTGTGGCTCCACACTCTGGTTTTGGCCCCGTGACTGCCCAAATGAGTGAAGTGTGCGGTGATTCTAAGATGGACGGCACTCATCTGCATGTCATACTGACTGACAGTATTATTTCTCTTCCCCAGCAGACTCCAAGGGCATTTAAATTAAAGGTACAGTGTTCTGCACTAATATAAAGGCTCTCTGAAGCCTAGAAACACCCTTTTTATAAGTTAAATTCGCAGCGAATATATTCGGCACGAAGCGAATTTAATCGGCGAATTCGGCGAATCAGCCGAACCAAATTTTTGAATAATTCGCTCATCTCTAGTAGTGAGCGTTCCTGCTTGCAATATTTAAAGCACGATTCTCGAGTCACACACGGGGCTGCCCTATACACGTTCATCACCCAAAACAAGCTCCTTCTCCTTTTCCGGGGAACAAAATTCATACAATTTTTAAACTCATATCAAGTAGAAATCGCAGTCGGATCCCATTACGTTTGGGGCGCCAGTAAAGAATAATGGCGCCTACCCTTCCTTCTCGCGTTCTGTTGCGAATTTGGAAATGCGGAGCGTGATCAAGGCAATTTCAAATCGCAAGATCTGAACGGGGGCCCTAATATTACCGCCCTCTACAATCGATATTTGAATCTCTTTGTACAAAATAAATCCTATTTTTTTTTTTGTTTTATTATACTTTTAGTTTCCATTAGGATGCATTATATCTTTTGTATCTTTATTATGAATCAATTGTTCTTGTTTTATGGATTATTTTATCATTTATTTCCCATTTCATAATAATTATAGCAGCTAATAAATGACTTTAATGCATTTAGAATTCCAAATTGTACCAATTTAACTTCTTCAATTCATAATGTTTTTTCTTTTCATCGGCTGTAGAAGAGGAAGATCCTTGAAACGTGCTTCTTTTTTAAACAACTTATCTACTTTTTTATTTTTTTGGCACACGTTAAAATCAGTATTTTTATGCTAGAAATTATTGTAACCCCCCCAAAAAACATATTTTCTGTAAACCCCACAAAAACAAATTTTCTGTAAACCCGCCAAAAAACATATTTTCTGTAAACCCCCCAAAAAACGTATTTTCTGTAAACCCCCAAAAAAACAAATTTTCTGTAAACCCCCCCAAAAACATATTTTCTGTAAACCCCCCAAAAAACATATTTTCTGTAAACCCCTCAAAAAACATATTTTCTGTAAACCCCCCCAAAAAACAGATTTTCTGTAAACCCCCCAAAAAACAGATTTTCTATAAACCCCTCAAAAAACATATTTTCTGTAAACCCCCCAAAAAACTAATTTTCTGTAAACCCCTCAAAAAACATATTTTCTGTAAACCTCCCAAAAAAACATTTTCTGTAAACCCCCCAAAAAACATATTTTCTGTAAACCCCCCAAAAAACATATTTTCTGTAAACCCCCCAAAAAAACATGTTTTCTGTAAACCACCCAAAAAAAAACATATTTTCTGTAAACCCCCCAAAAAACAAATTTTCTGTAAACCCTCCAAAAACATATTTTCTGTAAACCCCCTAAAAAACACATTTTCTGTAAACCCCCCAAAAAAACATAATTTCTGTAAACCCCCCAAAAAACATATTTTCTGTAAATCCCTCAAAAAACAGATTTTCTGTAAATCCCTCAAAAAAACATATTTTCTGTTAACCCCCAAAAAACATATTTTCTTTAAATCCCCCAAAAAACATATTTTCTGTAAACCCCCCAAAAAACAAATTTTCTGTAAACCCCCCCAAAAACATATTTTCTTTAAATCCCACAAAAAAACATATTTTCTGTAAACCACCCAAAAAACATATTTTCTTTAAACCCCCTAAAAAAACTAATTTTCTGTAAACCCCCCCAAAAAACATATTTTCTGTAAACCCCCCAAAAACATATTTTCTGTAAACCCCTCAAAAAACATATTTTCTGTAAATCCCCCCAAAAAAAACAAATTTTCCGTAAACCCCCAAAAAAACATATTTTCTGTAAACCCCTGAAAAACATATTTTCTGTAAACCCCCCCAAAAAACAAATTTTCTGTACACCCCCAAAAAACATATTTTCTGTAAACCCCCAAAAAAACATTTTCTGTAAACCCCCCAAAAAAACATATTTTCTGTAAACCCCCAAAAAACATTTTCTGTAAACCCCCCAAAAAACAAATTTTCTGTAAACCCCCCCAAAAAACATTTTCTGTAAACCCCCCCAAAAAAAATTCTGTAAACCCCCCAAAAAATAAATTTTCTGTAAACCCCCCAAAACATATTTTCTGTAAATCCCCCCAAAAAACATATTTTCTGTAAATCCCCCCAAAAAACATATTTATTTTGTAAACCCCCCCAAAAAAACATTTTCTGTTAACCCCCCAAAAAACAAATTTTCTGTAATCCCCCCAAAAAACATATTCTCTGTAAACCCCCCAAAAAACAAATTTTCTGTAAACCCCCCAAAAAGCATATTTGCTGTAAACCACCCAAAAAGAATTTTTTTTCTGAAAGCAGAGACCCTGGAGAATAAAATGGTGGTAGTTGCAATTTTTTCTAAATTGCACGAAATTTGGGCAGTTATATTATCACACGCATATTTTCAGGAAGAAATGCGCTAAAATGAATTTGAGTGCAAACAGACATAATAAAATACCCATTTTTTGGTAAAATATTTTAACCGTTTCAATACCTGCAATTTTCCCCCTTCCCCCCCAGGCCATTTTTCAGGTTTCAGCGCTCTCACACTTTGAATGACAATTGCGCGGTCATACAACATTGTACCCAAACTAAAATTTTATCATTTTCTTCACACAACTAGAGCTTTCTTTTGATGGTATTTAATCACCGCCGGGGTTTTTATTTTTTGCTAAATTAACAAAAAAAGACCAAAAATTTTGAAAAAAAACACATTTTTCTTTGTTTCTGTTTTAAAAGTTCACAAATAAATAATTGTTCTTCATAAATTTAGGCCGAGATGTATTCTGCTCCATGTCTTTGGTGAAAATAATTCAAATTAGGATGTATTATTTAGATTGTAGGAAAGTTATAGAGTTCACAAACTATGGTATAGATCTGAATATTGATCAATCCTGAAGTACTGACAGCCAATCTAATTTCTTGAGGTCCAAGAATGTCAGAACAGTACAGATATCCCCCAAATGTCAGGACAGTACAGATATCCCCCAAATGTCAGGACGGTACAGATATCCCCCCAAATGTCAGGACAGTACAGATATCCCCCAAATGTCAGGACGGTACAGATATCCCCCAAATGTCAGGACGGTACAGATATCCCCCCAAATGTCAGGACAGTACAGATATCCCCCAAATGTCAGAACAGTACAGATATCCCCCAAATGTCAGGACAGTACAGATATCCCCCCAAATGTCAGGACAGTACAGATATCCCCCAAATGTCAGAACAGTACAGATATCCCCCAAATGTCAGGACGGTACAGATATCCCCCAAATTTCAGGACGGTACAGATATCCCCCAAATTTCAGGACGGTACAGATATCCCCCAAATGTCAGAACAGTACAGATATCCCCCAAATGTCAGGACGGTACAGATATCCCCCAAATTTCAGGACGGTACAGATATCCCCCAAATGTCAGGACGGTACAGATATCTCCCAAATTTCAGGACGGTACAAATCCCCCCCAAATGTCAGGACAGTACAGATATCCCCCAAATGTCAGGACAGTACAGATATCCCCCAAATGACCCTTTTTTGCAGAGTAGACAGTCCGACGTACTTCATAAGAGGCATGGCGAGTTTTTTGAAGTATTTTTTTTGTCATAATTTTTCGAAAAATTAAAAAAATTATTTTCACTATTTTTTTTTTTACATACTGTCACCAGTGCAGTACAGCGCCATCATATAACTGGCATGGCGGTGAACAGGGACACTGACTGGTGACAGTATGAAAAAAAAATATATATATTTTTTTTATTTTTTTTTTTATTATTTTTAATTTTTTATTACATTTTTTTAATTTTTTTTAAGATTTTCTTTTCATATTTTACTATGACCAAAGTAGTACAATGTTACCATAGTAACATTGTACTACTTTGGGGAAGTGATCAGTATTTTTTTTTTTTTTTTTTTTTTTACACAATTTGCTTATAGGAAAGAATTACTTTGCTATAAGCAAACATTTACCTGAATGAAATCGATTCATTCAGGGTTTTTTTTTTTTTGTGCTTAGCTGTGATTTGGTCACAGCTAATCACATGACATGTGCATGTGACCTGCTGTGACCATTCACAGCTAGACACTAGTATACAATGGATGGCATGAATGAAGCCATCCATTGTATACAACTGTCATGTGACCTGCTGTGACTGGTCACAGCAGGTCACATGGTACCAGCAACGGGGGCCGGTACTCAGATCTGTCATCGGCCGTGTCCGAGGTACACGGCCGGTGACAGATCGCCCCGCTGCGCCGCTCTGCATTAGCGCAAACTGTGCATGTGCGGGAGCACGCCAAATGGCGTGCACCCGGAATGCTGAAACACTTTTGAAGCCGCCAAACGGCCATTGGCCGGGCGGCTAATGGTTAAAAAATGGGTTTTGTGGAGTAAATAGATACCAAACGTGTCATGCTTGTGGATACACAAAAAAACTACAGTACCCAAAATTCTCCCAAGGAGACACATTAACTGCTTCCGCGCCATAGCAGAAATACTGCTACAGGGCGGCACGGCTGTGCAAAATTATGTATATATATGCGATTTTGCATTTCTGGGTAGGGGGCGTGCGTCCTACTCATGCTGCCATTTGCGGCCTCGGCTGCCAATCACTGGGTTCCAGCCCGTGATTCCCCACCGGCACCCGGCGATCTCTGAGTATTACCGACGTGGAAAGACCTGTATGCAAACAATACAGATCTCTCCCCTGTAAGCTCCTGCACACTGCTTTGTATGGCTCTGCATAGCAGAGCCATACAAAGCAGGGTGCATACAGTGTAAAGCACAGCACACAGCCCCCATAGTAACACAGCACACAGTTAACCCTTTGATGGCCCCAGATGTTAACCCCTTCCTGCCCAGTGCCATTATTACAGTGTCAGTGCTTTTTATTAGCACTGATTACTGTATTGGTGTCACTGGGGATGTCAGTGGCAGTTAGTAAGTTTCCCTCCAGTGTCAGAATAACCGCCGCAGTCCCGCAGTCGCTG